ATGGGTCCGGTTCGCCATCCCTCTCTGTACTGGGACCGACTGATGGTCAGGTCAAGAACGACTTTATTCGTATTTCATATAAAAGAAAGTTCTTGTCAATTTGGCTCGTAGTTTATATCTCTTGCTAGTAGCACTTTTACTACCACTTCTACCATTATGTTGATCTATTCGTCGCCATGAGGCATCGGTGTACATGCTCTCCCGCATTCCGTTTGCTATTGTATCACTGATACGTCTCTACAAAGTCGTAAATCTTGCAGCCATATCCACCATAACTGCAAATCTGCTGAACCGCTAACCCGACATACATAATAATACTCTCAATCTCATTGTCCCAAGATGCTGCCGCAAATCCCACCTGCTTGCCAAGCTCGAAGAAGGCTTCAATGAAGTGGTTCGCGACAAGCTCTGTCTTCACTGTCCCTTCCTGTGCTTCATGGATATCCTTAGTGAGGGCAACGCAGAGTGTAGGGACAGCCACAACGGCGGCGATGGTGCCCTTCCAGCGCTTGATGGTTGGCTGATCAGCCTTCTTCACTTTGGCGATGATATTCGCCAGCGCTGCGGCGCTAAAATTGGAGACGGTGAGTCCCAGTTTCTGTATTATCGTTAGCAGGAAAGTTCGGAAGATACCGGGGTTTCTCAATCAGTCATGTGAGATAGACGTACAGAGTACTTGACAAACTTGGCTGTTGTAGAGGTATCAGTCGGCGGCTTTGTGGGATCATCACCGGCTGGCCAGGTGATGAACGTGGATATCGTCTCAAATGTCAGTGATGTTGCATTTAGCACATTGGTGAGCTGGGCAACGGGTCCGATCGGAACACTTTCTAATCCGGTGCCTTCAAAGGCGCTGTCGATGAGGAGCGAAATGGTCTTGAATTCGCCGTACACCAACTCCAGACTCGTAGCCGTTGCCAGCGTGAAGTTGGTCACGTCTTTAGCAAGAACAGGATCAACTGTGCCCGAAACATACTGGCCGAAAGAATCTGCGGTCAGTCGACCGGTAAGCTTTGGAGGTGCCTTGTTTGCCTTGGCCTTGTAGAGAACTGTTGTAGGAATGGCCATGAGCAATGCGACCAGTCCTAGTAAAGAAAGGGGTCGGTTGCCGGCAATCTTCTTCCAGAGCCATCCAATCACGGGGATGTCCATGTTACTGTTAGAGAGGGTCTTGATCAAGTTGATACCTAAAGCCAAGGCCTTGAATAGGATATCTCCAAGGGTCTTGAGAGAGTCGATTATAGCATCTATAAGATCACCAGAGATCTTGACCATGAGGGCCTTGATGTCATACTCCCCACTGTCGAAGAAGCCGAGGAAATCTTTGGCGACGTTAGTGCAGAGTTTGACGATGGTGTCGAGCTCATCCTGGATATCGTTCCAAATAGCAACAAGGTCATCTTCTGCAGAACCAGGTTTGCTATCATCATATAGGACGGCATTGGTAGTACCGCCACCATATGTGAAATAATATGTCGACCAGTTGTAGGCAACATCCGACTTGACATCTTCGTCAGTATCATCAGCATTAGACGCAACAGTCGTCTCAAGGGCAGCCTTTGACTTTATGCTCTTGGGAACAGTAGAAGCGCCGTCGTAGTTTTGATTCTGCAGCGTAGGCAATTGAGCTTTGATGGTGGTACGGAGCTCTTCTAGCCATGAGTCGACTGTGATCTCAGTAGTATCCAGAAGATGTTGTCCATAGTCAAGGGCTGCATTGAATCCAGTGGTAATGCTGTCAGCTGTGGCGAGAATGTCATCCCAATTGAACAAGTACCCCAAAAAGTCAATAACATCCTGCAACATGACGCCTAGTTTCTTGAAGACCCAGACGACAGCCTTGACAATGACCGAAGCTGTATCCAGAATAAAGGAATAGACTTCTTCGCCAATTTTGATAATGAATTGCCAGATTTTGCCGGCACCGTCCTCTGGAATGCCACACAAGTCAGTAAGGGCTGGAATTTGTAGGAGAGTGGGATTTTGAGCAAGGGAGACATATACTTACCAACAAGGTTGACACCCCACTCAACAGCATCTTCAACCTTGTCCTCAACCTGATGCCAGAGATCTTTGAGCGTGCCTTCGATAGAGAAAGCTCGTACGCCATGAGCCGTTTCTCCTCCAGAAGCAGCCACAAGGCTTACTGCCTTGAAGGATTTCAGCAACTTCTGGCTATCCCCTTGATTCTGACGTGTCTGATCTACCAGGGCTTGGATAGAGTCAACAGCACTCTTGACGTCGTCATCCGAGGCACCGGCCGGAACAAGAGGAGTTCCATCCTTCTTCTTCATGGCGCGAACATCCTCGGGAGTTTGAACATTGTCAAGCTTCATAATTACCTTCACCGAGGGATCCAAGAGTGGGTTTTGTAGAGGAGTCTCAGGAGACCCAGGCTTGGCAGCGCGGTAAGCGTCTGCTGAGAAAACGAAACAGGAAGCATCGTCGCTTTGAAGTTGTATGTTCAGAACTCCCTTGGCATCTGTCTGATACCATTGGCCAGTAGGACCAAGTGAAGCATACCGGCCATTGACGGTACATCGTACAACACCGGAAGCGCTGACTCTGAGCCAGCATCCAGGAATGAGACTGGCTTCATCGCTAGTAGTAGCTGTAGCATGCATACGCAGCATGAATCCCTTAGTCTCCATGACATTCAGGTCTGACGCATACCAGAAGGGGTATGTCTGCCACAGCTGTGACACCGAATCTTGTTGCAAGAGAACGAGGTTACCGTACTCATCCACGGATAGCAAGCTGCTGACAAGCGTTTGATCTGAACCGTCAGCAGACTTGAGAGAGAGCAGACCAGAAATTTGGCCACCTTTTCCGTCCGAAAGAAGAGGAATTACAGTGCCATTGGAAAGGGATGTGCTTTGTGCTGTATAATAGTGAACGGCGTCTGTGTTGGTCGTGTACCAAAACCTCAAAGTCTGTCCAGATAAGGTGACATGGAGGTCCTTGAGGCCGCTGACTTGGTCTCCCGTGTTTATAACAGTTCCCTTGCCTTTGGCAGAGCAGTATTCGCTTGACTTGAAGGCCGTGATGTTTTGACCTCCAATGAGGAGGATGCTCTGATGCGATGTAGGATCCACGTATGAATTAATGCAAGTTGCGCCTATGAGACAAATTGGTTAGAATTTCTACATAGTGTGTATGTAGTGTGAGAGTAGTGACATACCAGTAGGGCAGATTGGCTCCACGACCATAGTGCTACCAGTGAAGAACTTGAACTGAATGTGTGTAGGCCCGCTGAAGGTTTCGTATAAGACAAATACACCATCTCCGAGAGCGCAGGTTCCCAAAACAACGTCTATAATTCGTTTGGGGTTCGCAGCCAAGGACCATGGCCCCGATAACGTAGCCTGGCTCTGATAGAACTGGACAAAGCGCAGATCTTCTGTGCTGGCGAGTCTGTCTGGACGTTGAAATGCTACCATGACTAAAGGCAAGGTGCGTTTTGTATCCGTCGATTTATTGTTCTAACACACAGAGTGTCAAGATTGTGCTCTAGGTATTTGAGTACCTAATAGAATAAATTCAACATACCATGTAAATGTGATCAACTGTAGGAAAGGAAGCTCCGCGAATTATCTTGGAGCTTGGAATGGGGCCCTGAAGTTCAGCAAATGCGATACCGTAGAGCAACGTAAAGGAAGATGTGGTAGCGTTGGCTCCGGGGGTGGCAATGCAGATATCAAGTGTAGAATCTGGTGCTTGAACAACGGCAAAGGCCTGAACCTTTACGCCTTTGGGAACCACACCAGATACGCTTCCAAAGTCAATTTTGGTGGCTTTGCCATTGATGACAGTGATCAAGTAAAGATAGGAGTCTTCACTTAGGGAGAAGACGCCTGGATCCATGTTGGCATCTCTGAAAACTGCAAAGCGCTGGCCGGCTGGGATGGGGTTGGCCGAGACATAGTTTGTCATCAGCTCCGAGTCTTGCTTGATGATCACCATGGTGAAAGAGTGATGGGGTGGAAATACGAGTTCGTAGGATGTTTCTTGGGAGAGCTTCTAATGAAGAATTGATGAGTGAATAGTTTGGTGAATCTAGACATGAAAGAGTTGATATATATATCCACATGTATGGGAGCATCGTGAGTTTGAGCTGCCTCCCCCGCAAATATCAAGGTTGATGATTCTGTTGCTGCTATTGCAACCACCACACCCCAACGAGCGGTGTCACCGATGACTCGATATGATGTGAATGATGGCTTTTCAGTGATTTCTCTGCAAAGACCCAATTGCGTCTTCGGCTGGCGATGCCAAGACTGACAAACTCGGGTCATCGGCATCCGAATCATCGTTCAGTTGATGCAAATACGGCAATACGAGCCCGCTCCCATACTTCTATGACAAGCAAAAATGTGCTAGGTTCACGATACATTATGGAAAGCCGCAACCCTTCTTGCCATTTGAATGTCTCGTACTGATGCATTCACACACAATCTTATTGAATCCTCCCTACAAAATAGTCATGATGCATCCCAATAAGCTTACCTTCATTTTCCGGGGTGCATGACAAGACAGGTTAGCCGACATTCGTATCAACCCTGCATTCCCATCCTCCCGTTCAACGTCGCGGCGGCTAAACAAAAAGTGATCACATAGCTGCATATACCCGTTGGCTGGCGATCTGTGGTTGGCCAGAATTGTCGCAAGGCTGTGTCGACAAATCAAAGCTGAATGTAAGAAAATAGCGTTCCGGAAAAGTCACCAGGGCTTGCGGGTTCCAGACCATCGTGTTCTGTTTGCTTGATTGCCTGATTAGGAAACCTTTTGAAGTTGACGAGAAATGATATCATAGTCTCTGTTTTGGAAGTATCAAGAACTTCATGTTCGAAATTTGATATTTAAGTTCTTTCTTCGCTAATGATTGAAATCTCAACAACAAGCGATCATAGCTATAGAAACAAGCATCTCTAAGCCATCTCATCCACTGATTCTATTTACAACCTCATCTTCAAAGCATCAACTCTCAATACACCGCCAAAATGACAAGCTACATCAATTCGACTGATTCAAGCCCCTGGGATCAGATGATTGTTCTTTCCCAGAAAACCATCAATACTTCCTTTAAAAATATGTGGGACGTTGCTCAGCTTGATGGTGATTCTCCCCTCACCCACTATGAGCGTACTACTAGAGGTGGAGAATATCTCAAGTTTGATGTTGGCCCTCCCTCTGTGGAATTACAGGTTGTACCCAAGGATGAGTTGCTTTTCTTCAAGCTTAATATGAAAAGCGGATCTTGTTTCATCTACCTGAGCGATGACTCCAATGATGATAGTCATATCGACTGGCAGATAAACGACTGGTTTTTTGCTTTTTCGGTCAGCATTGGTAAGAACATTTCCTTGTATAGAATATTCCGGTATATCGTATACTCACCATATCCTTAGCACAAAAGACGGTCGAAAAAGAAAGCCAAGAGTACAAGGACTTCAAGACCCGTTCTGGGCTTCTCAACTGGGACTTTTCGTTAGCACGTCTCTTTATTGATACTTCTTGTAAGCCGTATTTCAATCTATATTTCTCTCATAGTAGATAACCCATTCTAAATGTTGTTCTCTAGCGTCCACCAAATTCTCGGAGGAGCTGAGCTCTTTCGGCGACAGGCAGCAAGATTACAATACCCTCATGACTGCCAGATCGAAGGGTGTCTTCCAGTCGTTCGTTAGTGAATGGGTTAATGTAATGGCGGCGTCAGGATGCAATATCTTGGGTTACTCTGCACAGGCTAGTGCCGACACAAGCGGTATGTTTCCCCCCCCTGGCGGGTATATTCAGCAATACTGGCTCTCTAACCTCGTACTCGCTTTCTATAGACCAGTATCAACCCACCTTCCCAGCTACACTTATCGACTATGATACCTACCCTTGGAAGGCTACCCCGACTTCGGCGAACCAAGACAACATCGACACCAATTCTCTGTGCTATCTCATGATGTCCAACTTCACCGTGCCTGCAACCGATGCGGTAACCTACACCGGCCAGTGGACAGATGACAAACACGGCGGTACCTATGTTCTGAATCGTTCCCTCTTCTGGCCCTGGATGTTTTCGGTGCTTCGGGACGTGGTCAAATCCATGGTCCCTGTTCCAGATGTTCCAACGCTGTATTGGGACGACACTGACCCGAACCACCCATATGCGTCTCGAATGGAATATCACTTTGGAGATAACACGGCCAGCGATGACAGCTATAAATTTGTCTCAACTGGCCCTGGTCAATGGTCTTGGACCGGTGTCCCCCTCAGCCAGTCCAACAAGGTCGCTAATCCAAAGGATGGCAGCGATTACGAAACCATTGTTGAATCTACCAATGTTCCTGTGCCTGGTGCTCGTAAGTGCAGCGTGCCACCCAAAGAATACCCATCACAAGATACATATACTGATACAAATTTTGATAGCCCCTGTCAGCGGTGGCACTGTCAGTTTTTCCGCCGGCCAAGAAAAGATCAGCCTAACTGGCAAGTCTACTTTTGTTGTCCGAGTAGACCACAGCAGGAAGAAGAACCCTACATAGTATGCTGACTCTTACAGGAGTCCCCTGAACAATCATTTGATTGAGGCAATGGATCAGTTGGCTAACACTATACTAGTACCCTAATGACTTTTGTCTTGACTTGGAGCGTTTCTATCGCTGTGGCCGCGGTTACTGATGGCGGAGTTCAATTCACCATTATAGATCACACCGTGGACACCGAATCGACGTCGGTGGGCAACTTGTCCTGGGTACCATCAGCGGACGTCGTGGCAGCCAATCTCAAGACTCAGATGGGCAACAGTCTCGCCAATGCTGCTTCGAATGCTAATGCCAACTTGATGAGCGTTCTCGCGAACCAGCACCGGCTGTATCTCCCTGCCAAGGGGCACTTCCTTATGCATGACCCTGTTTTCAACAGCAAGGGCGACCTTTTGGTTGGACTGGATTATAACGGGTAAGAAGATGCAAAATTATCCTACTTAATCGAACATGATAGAGTACGAATACTAACCGTTTTCTCAGGGCTGATGCACCACCACCACCGGCTAAAAAATAGATACGGAACTAGAAGTGGCTCGAAATGGGATCGTTGAATAGTAGTGGGCGCAACGACACTGCTTAGTTGCCCATTTTGACTTTGAAGTCTGTTTCTTGCTTCACTTGTATTGGCTTTTTATTCTCTCTGTTGTTTGGTATGGGGGAGCGATCCTTCATAATAAACCTTGACTATGTTTGTGATTTACTACCTATATAGAAAATTGACATTTGTTGTCATCTCAACAAGATGCCTCCGAGTACTATCCGGCACAATATTCAGATAAATTGGACATGAGAGTCGAAACTCTAGTAGTTTGAAAGCGTATCGTGAACTTTCATGGAGAGAGCAATTGAGCTGTAAGCCATTAGTCGAGACGAAAGAGGGCCCGGGGAGGATTAGAACTCGGTCCATTTTCTGCTAACAAAAGGATCCATATACTAGAGTTTGGCCGTCTATTTACAACAAAGACGCTAAGGCGGGTTGGTGGAGTGGTCTAACACGTGCGACTCAAGATAATCTCTTGATCCTTCAAAAGGATTTCGCATCTCGCAAGAGGCGTGGGTTCGAATCCCACACCCGTCAGTCTTTCTTTTTTCCATCTCACGTTAATTTTTTGTCCCAGCCTTCTTTCTCTATGTACTTTATCTAGCCATCTCAAGAAGGAGGTGGATTACATGCTTACACCATATTGGTTTTTCGCGCATCAAATGTTTGTAGCAGCATAACTGATCACTAAACTAAGGTTCTCAACTCTTGAGCAATATGTAGCACTGTTGCTAACGAGGAAAAGGAATACGCACCAGCGTTGATAAACATAAGTAGTTGCTTTGGTATTATTATTCAATTATTTGAAGTAAATGTTAGGGATCAGCGGACTCCGCCATCTCATTAGCTGTTTACAGTTCATCAGTCTTTCTGATGCAGATGTGAACCAATGGCATTACACCATTTTGAAGTGAAGGTATCTTGTTAGGCTGAGGATCGGAACTGCGACACTCATCTGTCAACAAGTAAGCAAAAATGAAAGAGACAGTAACCCAGTGGAAATTGGTTACAAATTCTCCACGGGTCTCTCCAAGTTCCCAAAAGAAACAGACCCCTGTACCTTGTCGGCGGTTGATCAACAGGTGGTGTTTTGACCCCAATTCACACCATAAAGGAGCTTGGGGTAGATTGAATATACCCCAATTACATGGATATTGAACAGTTATAAATGCAAGTGAGCGTCGTTGTATAATCGGATCAAATCAAGTCATTTCACACATATTTGCCTTTTGGTGTTTCCCTCGCCTTCTTTACTTGCACAATGGCTCTACGGGCTGCATCTCTGTTCGCTCTTTGTGGCGTTTCCTTAGCCTCAACACCAGCGCCATCAGTTAATTCCGTCAGAACTCTATTCGAGTTCCCCAAACAATCCTACGTCGAGAACCTCGCAGTTCGACGCAATGGCCAAATTCTCATCTCGGATCTCAGCACATCACAACTTTTCCTCTTTGATCCTTCAGCGCCTGGGCCAAGCCAGCCCGTTGTTGTTCATGACTTCACTGAGTCCCTTGGCCTCGCAGGCATTGCAGAGTATCAGCCAGATGTATTTGCCGTGATTTCGGGTAATTCTTCTTTTACCAGCAACATTACTAGTGCTGGAACATGGAATGTTTGGAGTGTGGACTTGCGTGGCGTTGGGATTTCCTCGTCACATGGCAAGCCAGGGCTCACATCGCCTCCTGTGGTGAAGAACATTGCGCATGTTGAGCCAGCTCAATTTCTCAACGGCATCTCAGTACTCTCTCAAAAGGACCAAACCCTTCTCGTTGGCGATGTGAACGGAGGTGTTATCTGGAGCTTGGACATCAAGACGGGACACTACGAGGTTGCTATTAACAATACATTCACGCACCTCTACGCATCACCGCCCTTTTCAGCATCAGGAGTAGATGGAGTTCATGTTCGTGGCAACTCAGTTTACTTTACAAACTTTGGAAACGGCACTTTTAATAAAATGCCTATCCACTCGGACGGAACCTCTGCAGGGCCGGTTACAACAATTGCGCATATTAAGGGGCCACTGGACCAGTACGACGACTTTACGTTTGACTGTGATGGTAATGCTTTTGTGGTGACTGGAGGTGGAAATACTATCGAGTTGATTTCAGCCGATGGAAAGCGCCAAGTTTATTTTGCTGGCAACCTCAACTCTACTGCAATTGCCGAGCCAACCTCTTGTGCATTTGGTCGTGGCCCGCACGACAGGAATGTCCTCTACGTTGTAACGGCTGGTGGAATGGAAACGCCAGTAAATGGAGACATTGTAATTGGTGGACAGCTCGTTGCGATTAACACTACCTCGAGGGGATCTGCGTGCTAAATTCCGGCAATATTCTTCTTTCGATAGATAGGAAGGGCTTTAGAGCTAGTATTGAGGTGTAATAAAAGCATTATGATGGGGAATTGTCCAACGTCTGTTGTATTCTCCCTCAACTGTTGACCGGCAGCTAGAACTTTCTGATCTGCAACAAACACGTATTCAAGTATCTACCAAATAAAATGAGAATTTCGCAAGAAAATACGTGCGCAATGATAAACTGTCTTTAGTCCATTAAAGAAGAGCTGACATGAGAACCGACAAAGAGCCTTCTAAATCTATGGTCTGTAGCACGAATCACTGTGGCCTGAGCCGTTATCAACGCATCGTTCACCACAGTACTCAAGAAAATGGATTTCCCCATTTGGTCCGCCTGCGCAATAGAATAGCGACTTTTTCCTCCAGTTGTCGTCTGTGGGCTTGCCAGCTGCTCTGAGAGCGCTCACTATCTGGTCATAGTAGTTACCTTTTCTTTGTTAGAACAAGCAGTCTTATACTCGGAGCCTTTCCACATTCTCACCAATGCCGAGAAGAACAGATCCACAGTAATCGAGATTCTTGCTGCAGTTTCTCGCTGTGGCGAAAGGAACGAAAATGGCTAGAGCCGCGACAGATGCGACTGTGAAGCGCATGGTGACGGTGGACTAAGTCTGAAAAACCTTGATATACTTGTAAAATCTTGAGATTTGCAGAGAAAACAGAGAGGAGGGATGAGAAATCCACCGATTTTCGAACTTTGCCTGCGGGAGGAGCTGGTTTAAATGTTCAAATTCCCGAAACTTTACTCATTCCCGAAAGCTATGGCAGCGCAGCACAAACATTTCTAGTGCTGAATTGTGCAGTGATTTTGCGTTCCGAAACATATGAAAAGATCTTTATGTCTCGTATATTATGACAGCGGGAAGGATATGGAATGCAGGCAATTGGACATCCGAAACATGTACCCATAAGATAACGCCACCGAATACGAATATTACTACTATATTACTATTGATGATACTTCTAAGGGTATTTAATGTTAGCCCTCTTTGGGTCCTTTTGTAGTACAAAACATGTATTTTATGCCTACCGAGCGTTGATTGACATGTATGTCAGAAAAAGTGAAAGAATGTGATGCATACTCTCAGGCACATGTCTTCTTGAGTCGCGGACAATCTACGGGTGTTGATTCCTTGGAGGATGCCGCTAAGTAGAAAGCCATCTCATTTTGTTGACAATTGACCATAAACTACTTGGAAACATTGCTTGAGTACAACTATGGAGACGTATCCATTTGTGGATTTACATAGCTACGCGCTCCATCTACTCTAAGACATCTTTAAGATGCAGACTTCAAATTGATAGAGAGTCCTTGTAAAGTCTTCGTAAAACTAGATCTCAGACCCTCGCCGTTAGCTTGATGAGTCTGGTCTGTGGTAGTCGAATGAAGTCTGTTATTCTGGGGTAACTCACGGACTAGCAGCTCACTACAGTGGACAGAGCGACGGGCCGACGATTGTTGGATTTTTGAGTGAGCCGGATGCAGCCGATGCCTTGAACCATTGTAGCCGTTATCCACTTTAAAGAAAGTGAAACCTACATCTCGGTTGGAGCAGTCTGTAATATCCTCATTTGGAAGACACCGTGCTACTTCGACGTTAAACAACAATACATTCAGCATTGCCTGCCGCAGAATACGACGGCGAGAAGCCCTGACATCTATCTCACGGGCATGCGTGACGAGATGTGTGGTGGACATACTGATTACAAGTGGAATGAGTAAAGTATATGAGCCAATTAGAAGGATAAAATGTGAATGGTATATCGGTTAGCTATGCCTAGGTATGGAACGTAGTTCACCTGCCCTCCATGTACCACTTACACCACACGGGTGGAGGTTTTTGCGTGGATTATCTGTCTTCATGAGCTACATCTCTCGTAGTATAATTTCTGTAATGAGAATCATCAATTATATGTCGGTAGGAGAAACTCCGAGAAGAGAATTCTCAAGTAATGCAAGATGGCGTTGTTTAGTGCCGTCGCTTGAAGAATCGGAATGATGGTGTGGAGATCTTTGACGTATGGCATGTGCAACGCAGCCATCGTCGTCACATGGAAACAAAACAACATGAAAGCAAGGCTTTTTGCCAGGCATTTCTAAGCGAATTTGAGCTGAGAGATTGAGGTAGTAACAAGCAGGGCGTAAAAGTAGCGCTGGTGTTGGTCGAGGCATCCCTCAGAGTTAAGAAGGAGAGCACATGATTTGGTGTTCGTGGCCAACTTCAAGGTTTCCTTTTGAAGAGCTGACAAAAAGAAACATTTTGAGTCGTCATAGATGACGCCCCAACAGTTAAAGCGTGTTCTATCCATTGGCAGCTGAAGCAGTTTCATTTCGTTCTCTTGGAAGCATATTACTCTTATCTCGTATGCTTGGCCGTAGATGGTCATGCCGGATGAACGTAATTGAGCTCTGATTCCGTCCAATATATGCAAAACGTTAGAATAGTATTCATGAATGTCTTCGAAGGCCATCTTCGGGAACGGATCAATAATGCTACCATCTTGCTGAAAGACGTAGAAGAGGCCTGACCTTCCCAATTTTTTTAATCAGCTCCTCCAAAACAACGCTGTTGCTATACGAGCTGTATTCTAATTTGGGATAAACTCATACGCTACTTTCTCTCCTCTGGCCTATGATCTCTTCCCTTAACGTGTCATTGGTTCAGCCTCACCCGCGCTGAATTCCTGATGCCATTCATATTTCTAGTTTTTGAATAGACTTTCTGCCACAAACCATGCTTTCCTATTATTCACTAAAAATAAGGTTAATTCTGACAGCCACCCCGCTGATTGCTTTGACATTCTGCCTTAGCTTGGTGTCATAACCCTTTCCAGTTTAACCTCGTTCAATCAGCTCATGGAAAGCTCAGCAACTACTACATATCTGTTTCTTTTATAAGAATGATCGCTGGCCCTCTACCTATATTCTGTTTTCTTCTAGGTACCTAATTACCAGAATCTCATTGCTATTCTTGAGCCTTCATTACCCATCTACCCATCAAAGCCTTACGATGTCTGAAGTCACCAATCGTAACGACGTTCGAGCAGCGAATGCCGCCGGAGGTTGGACTATTGTCTATGGAGATCTCATCAACGAAGCTGATGTAGTTGAACTAATTATTTCTGTTCCCACCGGCACTGTAGCTGGTTGGGTCTCCAATCAAGTGGATGCACAGTTGCAAAAGTTTAACCAAAGCCTGGCTACCGTCTCTGACGACGTTATCAAAGAAGCAACAGAGTTTCTCAAAAGCCTTCTTCAGGGCAAGAGATCTGGGGAACGAGACATTAATGGTTTGGGAGTCAAAGCAGGAATTGTCACGTACCACCGCAAACTTAAGACGCCTTTTGGTTCTACGCCGCTGCCAAACAACCATCAACCATACATTGGCATACGGATTACCAAGCCTCTGCCACCAAAAATGCCATCTGCAGCAGTTCAAGTACCACCAAGTGCGCAGCCGGGTACTCAACAGCCCACACAACCGAGAGTACCATCGAAAGGCCTAGACAGCAGATCATGGTACAGGATCAAGAATCCAGCGAGGCCCGGAATGGCAATTGATGTCGTCAATGATGGGAATCAACAGCAAGATGGTCAAGTGCAAATGGCCGCTGAAGGGAATTTCAGTGGACAACATTGGCAGCTTCGTCCTTCTAGAACCAAGCCCGGAGCCTATAACCTATATAATATGTGGCTTGGAAGCGATAAGTGCTTGGATGTATATGGCAACGACAAAACGCGACCACATCTAGCCACAGCTGGTAACTACTCGGGACAGCAGTGGAGTGTCGAACAACAAGGAAATGGAACTTGGAAGCTGTCAAACTCATATTCTGGGCCACTGGCCTTGTCAGCTGATGCATATGAAGCAGAGCTGTCCCTCAAAGATCCCCAGCTTTCTCCTGCAATGTCGTGGACCTTGCAGCCTATCAAGCCAATCACGGAGGTTGGCTTTTAATGCTTAGGATATCTGTATATTATTTGCCTAGTTTATGTAAAAGCTGTATTCTTTGATGAACCCTTGTCATATCGATCTATCCCCTTCTATCCCCTACAAAAGCACGCGAAATGAAATCTCAATTACCATATCATCCGCAGACTCTATTGGTTGGCGTTTTTCTTGAGCTTGAGATATTGTGCGAGCAGCTCTCTCATGGTTTGTTCGAAGCTAGTAAACTTCCACCCAAAAGCTTTTTCTGTAGCATCGCCGTCCAGTCGCCACTTGATACAAGGGAGCGTGCCCTTGAGCGGTAGCAATTTACTTTCCACTTCTCCTGGGAAATATCTCTTAGCAACTGCTGCAATGTCTCTATCCCAGACAACACCTTCAGGGGTGTCAGAGCTAAGGATGTACTCGGAATTTCCTGGAATTCGAGCGCTGTCCACTGCATCGACATGAGCGCGCGCAACATCCGCAACGTGAACAGGCACACCGACGAACGGAAATGATGAATTCGTGGAGCCGTCAAGTGCTGGGGCAAGGACTGCAGCTCGGTTATCCTTCAACAGCTCATCTACAGAGCCACTTGGAGGAATCCGCTCGTCCGGGCCAAACACCACAGAGGGGAGCAGATGAATAAAGTCAAAGTGAGGCTTCTTTTTCTCAATGAATTCCCGCGCAGCGATTCTGGAGTATGCCTTTGAAGCCCAGTAGGCTTCCATGGCACTGCCGTATGGCTTTTGAGGATCTGAGTTTATATCCGATGCTGCTCATCGACTATTAGAAAAGTTGTATAATGTGAATGCACCATGTCTCTTACCGGAGTACAGTCTCTCACTGTCGGGAGCCATGTTCCATTCGAAAGGAATCAAGGTGACGCCTGTGCTGTGTGAGTTTCATATTGTTTCGTGTATGGCGCGCACGGAGGACTTACACGAGGACGTGATGACAATTCTTCGGACGGAGGGGACATTGGCGGCTGCTTCCAAGACTGTGGTCACCATGGATATCGCAGGACTTAGTATGTCTCTCTCGTAATCTTCACTCTAATTGACGCTTATTAGTTTCTCAGGGTTATTATACACGTTAACTATTGGAGCACCTACTTCATGTGCCAGCGGGGATGCGATGTGGATAATGCTCGTGATGCCATCTAGAACAACAGGCCAGTTGTCACATGCCAAGAAATCAGGAACCACGACAAAGTCTAAGATTCCTTTCTTATGGCTTTCGGAAATCAGGGAGCGTTTCTCCGTAAGATGTGAGATACTTTGCTCATTTCGAACGACAGCGCGAACGGCATATCCTCTTTCGAGAGCGATAAGCAGAGACTTGAAACCAATATAGCCCGTGGCGCCGGTTATCTAAAAGGGCGTGTTAGCCAAAAGAGTTGCCAAATTTTGACTTTTTCATGTTCAAGCTCTTACCAGCAGCTTCTGTGAAGCGACGTCGTGCTTTGTAGGGTTCATCTTGAAGATCAGGTAGAGAAAGGATTTGAGATTGACTTGGAGAATGTGTTACAAAACAGCGGAAATCATCCATCTTTTATAACCAGAACTATAAGCATAAAGTCTCCGTTAACTTGGACTTAGTAAGATCACCGAAATTAGTTTATTTGGCTGATTACACTGTCGATCCAATGTGAAATACACTTGGCACAGAATGTTTGAACGTTCACAGTATCTCGTTGCGGAATTCCCTTCCAAGCGCGGAATTCCACTGCGGAATTCCGCGCCTAGAGAATCTTCCAGCTGTAATTTTTGGTGACTTTAGCGACTTCATCCGGCACTACAGCGGGCAGCTTAGCGATTTCTCTAGGCGGCCAAGCCCCACAATTATCCACCAAAGCCAATTGCCCATTGCGCACTCTCATTGGCCGGTGATAAGCCGATAACGATATCCTTGCCAAAAAGTTTCGATCCAAAGAAAAAGTTGCGACAAGCATCACCAGCATCGTTGCGGAAGTAGCAACAGAAACAGTCCTTCAATCAGATTGGTCACAGCCTCAAAGATGGATAAGCGAAAAGACAAGAAGAAGAATGGCGGCGCAGCGCCCCAGGCGCGCATCACCGATAAGCGATTCGCCAGCTTCCAGACCGATCCTCGATTCCGGCTACCGTCGCGAAAGAACTTGAAGACGACTGTCGACAAGCGATTCGCGGGCATGCTCAAGGACAGTGACTTCACAGCCACGGCTCGAGTAGACAAATACGGACGCAAGATCAAGTCTGATGCTAAGAAGAAGGCTTTGGAAAGACTCTACCAGCTGGACGACGAGGAGGACGACAAAGAAGACGACTCCAATGAAGAAGAGGCCGACAAGCCGGCAAGAGGCAAGAAGGACGAAGACGAAGACGAAGACGAAGATGGAGAAGAGGAAGAGGAAGAGGAAGAGGAAGAGGAAGAGGAAGACGACTTTGAGGTTGACGATGACGAGGTTGAGAGAGAGCTACAGGCTGCGGAGAGGCCTCGGAAATTCGACCCCGCGCGAGAGGGAGGCTTCTCCTCCTCCGAGGACTCAGATTCCGATGACGATTCTGAAGAAGACGAAGAGCTGGATCTTGCCACCGGCGGCGATATGCAGCGATTAGAGCGAGAGGAGATCCAGACCGGAGAAGTAACGAATCGGATAGCCATTGTCAACCTCGACTGGGACCACGTCAAATCAACAGATCTGATGGCCTTGTTCACCAGCTTTATCCCTACCAACGACCCTGGCAAAGTCCTCAATGTTGCCGTATACCCAAGCGAATTCGGAAAAGAGCGTATGCAACAAGAAGAAATCGAGGGCCCCCCCAGGCAGCTCTTTAAGAAGGGCAAGAAGGACGTCGAGTCTGATGACGAGAGTGCATCCGACAGCGAAGCCGAAGAGGCCGCTATCAAGAAGAAGTTGATTCAAGAGGGCGACGATCAAGATTTTGACAGCGATGCCTTGAGAGCATATCAGCTTGACAGGTTACGGTACTACTATGCCATTATGACCTGTTCAAGTAAAACCACTGCTCAGGCTATCTACGAAGCAACCGACGGAACCGAGTATCAGGCCTCATCCAACTTCATCGATCTGCGATTCGTCCCAGATGATGTTACGTTTGATGACGAGCCCAGAGATCAATGCAGCAAAGTACCCGAATCATATAAACCCATCGAGTTCGTCACCAATGCGCTACAGAGTTCAAAGGTGAAGCTCACCTGGGACATGCACCCCGAAGAGATCAGCCGCAAAGAATCTATCAAGCGAGCCTTCAAGGGGAGCAGAGCCGAGATCGACGAACAGGATCTAAAAGCATACCTCGCTGGTGACAGCGACAGCGAAGATGACGAAGAGGAGGAAGATGCCGGCGAAGCAGCTGCCGGCGATGAACCTAAGCTGACCAAGAAAGAATTGGCTCGGCAAAAGATGCGTGAGGCTCTTGGTCTCGCAGCTGAGCCAGAGTCCAAAAAGTCCAAGGATGGTCCTGTGGGCGCGATGGAAGTCACATTTACCCCGGCTCTATCAGGCGAGAAAGCCAAGAAGGACGAAAAGGAAGAGACCACAATCGAGAAATACGCCCGTAAAGAGCGAGAGAGGAAAGAGAAGAAACGACAAGCCGCCAAGGCCAAGCGCGAAGCCCTCAATGACGATGACGGCGAAGCTGACGATGACGTCCACGTCGTCACTGGTGGTGGCGAAGACGACGACGACGACGAAGATCTTGGCTTTAACGATCCCTTCTTCACTACCGAAGATCCCGCCCCTACATCCAAAGCATCCATCCGCAAGGAAGAGCGCCGCAAGAAGCGTGAAGCCCGCGAAGCTGCCGAAGCTCGCGACGCCGAAGAAAAAGCCCACCTGTCCAAGGTCATGGCTGAAGACGCAAATGATAACCAGGTGGACCACCTTGATCACTTCGACATGAACGAGATTCTGCGCGCGGAGAAGCAAAAGGGCAAGAAGGCCAAGTACCAGAAGAAGAGCAAAGGCGCTGCTGGCCTGCAGTCGGACTTTAAGATGAATGTCAAGGATGACCGATTCAAGGCTGTGTTTGACAGCCATGAGTTTGCTATTGATCCTTCTAATCCAAAGTTCAAGGCTACGGAGGGAATGAAGGAGTTGTTGGAGGAGGGCCGGAAGAAGAGAAAGATGGCCGTTGGTGTCGATGAGGAGGAGAAACCGCGTCAAAAGAAGAACAAGAAGGGAAGACGATGAACACTTGCTGTTAAGAAACGTGTATGAGGTGGACATCTCCGTCAAATAAAAGGGAGTTGGTTTCTGTCTATTAATTTTGTATGATTCGCCCATGTTCGATCATGCCTATATAGAGTATATAGCCAATGATGAAATGAAAGCTGATGAAAATCCCATCCCTCATTGAAGCGTATTACTTATCGTAACGAATACATATAACAGCCATATACTCCCTATGGCAACCGGCTGCTAATGCGGCCACAAAGAAATGATGAGTCTAAGCACGCACATTTTATACACTCTTTTGACAATTTCCTCCTCTATAACTCTATTGGTATATTGTGTGTACGCGCAATTCGAAAGAAGAACTGATTCACTCAGCATCATACGGCTTTTGGCCACTCCAGAAATGCATCTTGCCGTACGCGTGGACTTTGGGATCACGCATGGCCTGACGACACTGCATGAAGAAGATTTCCATTTCTGCTTTTCCCCACCCGAGCATAGGGAAGTGAATAGCTCCCACTGCTGGGAAGAAGTCTTCGCAGGCTGTGCGATAATACATACCAACTAGACGCTTCACTCTGGCAAGACAGAGTTAGTAAATGCATATCCAAGGGAAGGGAGTTTGCATATGCGAGTGTAGGAATACGAAGACACATAGAAAGTAACTAGATGAAATGGATGGCTTAACTCACTTGTCTTTCGGCCATGTGCCATACGGGAGCTTGATATAATTATGTTGGATGTTGACAAAGCCCGCCTCTGCCAAGTACTGCCCCCCGAAGACAGCGGCGTGGGCATTTGTACCAAATTTTGCAAACGCCTCAAGCATGTACTCGGTGAACTTCTTGAGAGGCCAGTCGTCCGGGATTGTGTTGTCATCAGAGTGTACATCTCCATCCACGTCTTGTAGCTCGACCCAACCGCCCGGCTTCATATTGCTATTTCTAGTCAGAAAGATCCTCTTGAAAGCAGAAATGGCGTTGCAGTGGGCCAGAGCTTACTCGTAAGCTTGCTTGAGCAAACCAACGGGGGATTTCATAACGGGTATCATGTTGCGTAGGTGCACAAAGTCCCAGTCATCACCGTTGAGCCAGTCTGCCTCGACATCGTCGACGAGAAATGTGACATTGGCGGGCACCCAGGAAGGTTGAATGGGACTCAAGTCAAGTCCTAGAACCTCAGCACCCCGATATTTGTCACCCACTACCCACTCATGTTACTACTTGGTCTTTTGCACTTTGCGACAGAAACGTGTATGCACGAAGACATGATTTGGGCAAATAGCGACATGATAAAAGAACTTACTCTCGATAGCCCATAGACCGGTGCCGGTACCGAGATCGATAATCTTCTGTGGATGGTCTCCGATTGGGGCATAGAATAGCTTGCCGTCTGTCGCCTCCAACATCATTGTGTGAAGCATGTCCTCACGGTTCTGTTCTGCCTCATCATTAGGGATTGGGTACCTGCCGTGCCGGTAACGGTGATACCGTCGGCCATTGAAGTAAGTATGGTCATAAATGCTGGATCCCAAAGATGTAGAGTCGGTTTCTTCGTTGGTGGACTCGGCATCATATTCACTAGGTGAAAATTCGCCATCCTCATCACTGCCACCAGGCTCGATGACGGCATTGCCGTGTAAGAGCCCCAGATTCTCCGCCTCAGGTTCCTCGTCTATTAACCAGCTGGTTAATTGTCTTGCCCCAAAGCGTGGATACAGGCAGGTCTCGTTGAAATAACATGGGTTTCACAGCCTGACTCGTTGGCATGCAAGTGAGGTACACAACAATTGTTGGGCGCGGACTCACCCCGCGATTATTGAAACATGAGTGGCTAAGCTACAAAACTGCTCACCTAGATTTCCTGTAGGGCTTGACTTGCCGACAGGGCTCGATCGAGGAGCAGGTCCAACCAGGGAATCACTCCGGCTGGATCTCTTGCTCCCTGTAGGGCTCCCCATGGCATAATCTAGTGGCGTAGGACTGATTATGCGCACCGAGTCGTAGCTGCGACGAAAAAGGAGAGTCCTGATTGATGACGATCACGCGATCTGAGAATGTGACAGGTAGCGGGGATGGGTGAGGGCGGCGAGGATATGGGGGAATTGGCCATGAAAGCACAGGCCCAAATCGATGCGGCCAAGATCGCAATGCCAACAATGCTCAGCAGTGCCGAAGGCAACGCCAATCGAGCACAGGCCTCAACAAATGGTCATTCAAATCGAAGTCGAGCTTGTAGTCTGAGAGGGGGGCGCGATGTGGAAGAGGGGAGGGAGACACCTTATTCCTGGAGAGC